ATGACACACACCTGAGCAGGTCTGATATATATTCCTTTCTGCAGAGGGCAGTGGAACATATTCCTGGGCCATTCATCATGTTGCTAAAATTAGATCCTGCTTAGAAGGAATGATATATTACTGATTACATAATAAAGATAGCTATATTTCTCATGAGAAACAGAAGGGAGAGATATATCTAGGCGTAGGGCAAATATATCCTTGATATGAAAAATGGCTTCATTAAGTATTTAATCTTTATACCATTCGTGTGAAATAAATGCACACATACATCACACGTGTTTTAAAGTGACTTGATAATTAATATTGTTACACTTGAGAAAAATCCTGGCTCTCCGTCAAGAAGTCATGCCATGAGTCAGAGAATGCAGGCCGAGACCCGCCCTCCGCCGATCTCTGAATGGAGCGCCTTGGCTGCGGTCGAAAAGCCAAGGGAACCACCCCAAGCGCACGGAGAGGGTGAGGCGTGGCTTCGCACGGAGATTGAGTCTGAGTGTGGCGAGGCGCAGGGGATCCCTGGGGCTTTCCGGAAACAGATGTGTCCTAGGTTTCTAGGGGCGGCGAAGATGGCGTCTGAAAAGATCCCAGGGACCAAAGGTCCCCTGTTAACTGACTCCAGCCTTCATTCTCCCCTCTTCACAAGTAAACCTGCTCCCTGTACATCTCATTCTGTTTCCCTCCTCTGAGATCCTTGCCTTAGAGGGCAAACCACACATCTGTTAAAACCTGTGGCCACAGAGGAAGCATTTCCAAATATCCCGGTGATGAAATTCCAACTTAAAACAAACACGAGCGTGTTTGATTGGAGTTTAAACAAACACAGATTCGTAGCACCTCAGGTGTCAAAGATCAGTAAAAACAAATCTGGATGAAATGAAAAAACAAAATAATTCTCAGAATAATAGCTTTGAATAATAGGGTGATCTAACTAAAGATTATTCTAGAGGTTATGGTTAGTAGTAAAATACTAACAGGCTAGAAGGGGTTAAAAATTCATCACTTGTATGTTTGCGCTATAGGAAAAAGACATCCACTTTGAAGTCAGATGGACTTGGGTTCTGGTCCCAGCTCTGACATCCACTAGCTATGTGATTTTTAGGCAAGTGATTTAACCTCTTTGAGCTCTTCTTTCCCATCTATAATATAAAAATCAAAATCCTTTAGCCATACTGTTCTAGAGGTTGAGTGCACACACAGCATCTCTTGCAGTGCCTGGTCCAGAGCAGGAAGTCAACAAGCACCACTTCTCCACCCTCTTGAGTCTTCCGCCTTGGATGAGCATAGGAAGGTGGAGCCAGGAACTTTCTCCCTCTCAGTGGTGAAAAATTACTTCCCCCTATTTTACCAGACTAGAGGTAAATTTTAAAGTTCTGGAGCCTTTATAGGGGCTCATTCATAGGGAAAGTCCTTGAAGTGGTCAGGATAAGCTAAGCTCTGCTGCAATAAAAAACAACCCCCGATGTTATTTATTAGCACAATAAAGGTTTATGTCTCTTATGCTATCTGTTCAACGTGGGTCAGCAGTTGGCTGTGCTCAGTTTAGTCACTCAGGGACCCAGGGCTCCACCACCTTTTGATGCCACCATCTCAATGCAAGGTTGACAGTTCATTGTCAGAGGGGAAGAAACCACAAAAAAAGAGAGCGGTGGCTCTTAATTGCTTCCACAAGGAAGTCATATATGATGCTTCCTCCCTCACACTTCAAAGGCTGTAAGGAAGTACCATCCGCCCAGGCGCCCGGAGGATGGGAGATGCAGAGTTGAGGTTCCTGTGCCAGAAGCGAAGTGATGAACTAAGTGCACCTGGAACAACCAAGTCCACAGACACATCTGATACCCCAACTGCGGCAGTCACTGCAGCCCTGCCTCGCCCGGTCCTCTCCCGGGAGAAGGCAGCTTGGCGATGCTGATGCCGGCCCACCAGTCTTTGTCAGGATCCAATCCCAGCCCCGTCTCTCCCCCAGTTCAGGCTTGTAAGACGCACTTGAAGTTTCCACTATTAACTTATCTAAATAATGTGTACACCTTTCTCAAGTCACATCTGAGTTGCCAAACTTTTGGACGCTTCATGGCAGCGTGATCAAAGTGGCTATTTTCTCACCGGGCACACCTTATTTCCTCAGATCAAATGAAACTCCCTCTATGGCTGAGGCTCACACACTTTGTTTCTTTCCCAGAGGCTTAGTCAGTATCTCCCTCGTTTGCTTCCCATCTGCAGTTGAGGGCATTAATGGCCCCCGTTTTGCACCCTCCCCTGTATTCAGGCGCCTTGCCACGTGACTTTGCAAGGCCTCTTGCTAAAGAGGTGGGGCTTATTCCTCCATGAATTCAAAGGCCTCGTTGAGGAGCTGTGTTCAAGGAGGTTGACCCGGCAGGGGACTCGGCAGCAGCAGGAGTCGCCAGCGGGTGAAGAGTCAGGAAGGAGATGCCACTTGGATTCCAGGTGGTTCAATCTGTTTGAAGCAGGACCCCAGCCAGCAGCTTGGACATGGGGGACCAGGCCCTGACTCGGCAGGAGCTATGCAAAGAGTAGCCAGGCACAGACGAGCAGGCTGAAGTTTGGGGGGAGGGTCCATGAGGAAGCTGGAGAACAATCGGCAAATCGGCACAGGAGGCCAGGACCAAAGAGTGGGTGCTGTGGCGGCACCACTGGGCTCATGGGACACTATGGTGAAGATAGCAAGACTAGTTCCAGAAACCACCGACAAGGAGAGAGGGGCTCCTGAGCCCTTCCCAGGCTCAGTCAGAGCTGGATGAGAATCAGGCGCCTCTGCCCGGCAGGCGCGGGGAAGGCGGCAGCTGACCCCTGCACCCTGTCACCACTTTTCTTAAGAGGGGACCACTAGCAGCCTGCTGATCCAGTGGTCCTCACCCTGGTCTGCAAATGAGATCACCTGGCACACTTTAGGAAGGACAAGTGCCTGGGCTCGCCCGCCAAGATCCCGATTTGATGGGCCCTGGATGGCAGGATATATCATTAATAACGTGCAGCCTGAGTTGAGAACCACTTAACCAGTCTGCCCCAACCCTCCTCCCAGGACAGGCCTCCACAGCCGTCTTTCTACACCCCAGTCTGGTTAGGCACCTACCTGCAAGTTTTAAAGAAGAAAAGTTAGTATTCACACATGCGTACAAGGATGACAAAAACTACTTTTTGAGAATAACTTTTTAATCTACTGATTATATATACGAGTTATTTAGAAAGTGTAAGGAGACCAAATACAGGCCTGTGCTCCCAGCTGCACCTGGGAACGGCCTCCACAGCAAGGGCGCGAGTCCTCAGGAAGCCAGGGGGCGTGCTGGGAGCTGTCAGCGTGCTGTCCACTGAAGGGAGGGCTTACAGGACTCATTGTGAAGCAGATCACAGTGACTTAAAAATGACACGTTAGCTGATCAATGTATATTTTTATCCATTCTCACCAAACTCTGGAACCTTAGAGTTCTTAACACAGAGTATGAGGTGCTAAAGAGAAAATAAAAGAATGCCAGGGGACGCCACTGACGGGCTCTTTTGGCCCCAGGGCCAGGGCAGGCTGCTTGATTTGAGGCCTGAATGAAGAGAAGACGGCCCTTAGGTGACCATCTGGGGAAAAAGACTTCCCGGCGGAAGGGACGGTCAGCAAGAACGTTCTCTGGGGGATTTTTGCTTGGTGATCAATGATGAAAAGCCGGGTCACTCACAGCTGTACCCACCCGGCTGCTGGGCACCCTGAGCGCCTGAGGCAAAAGCGAATACCACACAACAAACAGCGAATAGGAGCGAAGTATGTCTTTAAAGCCCCATGAACAAGCACAGCGAGTGTTACAGACAGTATTCTGGGGACGGTATTATGCTCTTTTGCATAATATTTATAAGGAACAGAGACTGGAATGGCCCTCGTCAGTTTTCCCTATGAGAGATATGAAATAATCTTTTATTAATCTTATTTTAAATTTGTTACCATTGTACATGATCTCAGAAGACCAAGTGGAGAGCATATTACATAAATCAAAGGAATAAATGAATATGAACGAAAAGACAATTATATGCCCAAATAAAAATGTCCGCCCATTCTGTTACACTACAAAGCATTTTGTAAATGTAAATATTGTACATAAGTGTTAAATAAATATATTAATATAATCTTCCTCTGGGTTTTTTAAAATGAGAATCTCAGCAGGCAAAGAGTTATAATTTCATATTTAGAAGTTCTCTCAGGCCCACGTTTCCAGCCTCTCACGGTTACCACAGGGAGGCCATTATTTCGGTAGAGACAGTGCAGGCGATGGCAGAAAGCACTGCGCTGGGGGCAGACAGAACTAGGGCAGGTCCTCACTTCGCCATTTATAGCTTGTGGTCTTGGGCAAGTTGTATCATCTGTCCAAGCTCTTGTTTCAAAACGTGAAGATTCTTTTCATTTCCCATTGTTGTTGTTGGAACGAAAGGAGATTATTCAGAGAATGCGGCACAGTGGCCGTGCCATCCTCACCTTCGTCATTGCATCATCCTCTCCTCAGAGGGAACGGGTGCGTGTGCAAGGCTCACACACTTGTAAACTTGGAAATACACAAGATGGGCTCACTCAGGACAGGCTGTGGTGTGGCTGCTCCCCTCCCACGGGAGGACTCGCTGGACAAGGAGCCCTCTGTGGCCTCATCAGTCAGTCCTCGGACAGCTAAGAATCCCGGAAGGACGAGATCAGCCTGTTGCTAACTGGTTGTGTGTTTAGCCTAGCCAGTTTGGCTCCTAATTCTTCACTGAGGAATTGGACAATAATCTTAAGAACGGTTTCTCGAGAGAATGCTTCCTGCAACAAATTGTCACCTGGAAATTCACAAAGGATACCACCAATCCATACTAATAGAAAGCCAACTATACAATAATTATTTACTTTGGAGAACTGTAAAGATTAATATTACCTGTGATGGAGAAAGATATTCCAGTTTAAGCATATTTCCTGTGTTGCTACAGAAGTATCAATATATTTTCCCCTCTTTTCCATTCAAAACAAAGACAATGAGTGCATTAATTAGAAACAGTAGGATTTATTCCTGGTAACAACCCAGAATGTAAATGAAAAGGACTCCATAATCAGGAGTCATCCATCAAGACCTCATCTGCTGGGGAGGTTACGCCTTCTAGAGTTCCCCTGCTGTCTGTCCTGAGTCATTCTGCTCTGCAGCTTTGGACCCTGCACAGAGTGACCGCTCCAAATATCCATGGCCTCGTGCTTCATCAGAACCACACGGCCACCTGTAGTCAACCAGGAGTCCTTGAAAACTCAGAGTATTTTAACGAAAGCGCGTGGATGTGTCCTTATTGACCACCGATCGTTCCTTATTGATCATTCCAGATCGGGTGTATCAGGAGGACAAACTTTGTTCCCTGTGGGACCAAAAAGAGAATAAGTTTTAAAAAAACAGGCTGCCTCTTTTAGTGGCTGCTACTGATCGCTAAATGATCTTATAAACACAAATTCTTAAAGGTCTAGCACGTTTGCAAGCACTTAACAAAATAGATGGATTCTGTAAAACAAAGTGGCTGCTTCGTCTCATGGAAAAAAAGAATCAACCCAGAGTGAGGACTTGGCTTCAAGTCCAGTCATTTACTGAGTAGCTGAGTGACCTTGGGGCTGGTCATTTCACTTCTCAGACTGTATTTACTCATCTATAAAATGGGAATGATAATATTTATTTCAGATTCCTCATAGCACAGTGGCGGAAATTAAAACAGATAGAGCATGTGGAGGTACTCTGAAAACTGTCAGAGGAACTGCCCCGTAAATAATTTCTAAGAATTACTGAACACCATCTCCTTAGACCATATCAGCAAGCGACACGTGACAAATGAGAACTCATTACTGTGTCATATCCCATTGTCTCTGGCTGTTTTCATCCTGAGCTGCTAGGGTGGGCCTATGCCGCCCTGTTGCATAAATCCTTGGTAGAGGGCATTTCTCTAAAAGTGGAAAGAACTTCCAGCTCCCATCTCCTCCCATCTCTTTCCACGTGCCCATGTTGCCATACAAATGTCACTCGAATTTCTTAAAGCTAGAAGAGAAACACAGGAAGTCTTCAGACACCTCTGCTTTAGGTTTCCCGACTCTTGTCAGGATTCTTTATAGATTCAAAAGGCCTCAGCCTCCACTCCCGAAATCTCTGCATAACAATGACTATTTATTTACCATTTGTTGAACACTTACTGAGCACAGCCTACTCTCAGGATAGGTTGTTAGGTAGCATACAGACTTCCTTCAGCATCAGAGTAAATAATGTCAAATGAGTAACTTTTTCATCCAACAAATATTTATTCAGTGCCTACTCTCTGCCAGGGACTGCACTGGCAAGGGGGTGGTCATAAGCTAAGAATGAATCCAGTCCCTTAATCCTCTGGCCCTTCCTGGCAACTTTCTCCCTAAGATATGTTGATGTGCATTGCATTACGAAAATCTCTTCAGGGGCCACCCCATGGCCGAGTGGTTAAGTTCGAGTGCTCCAGCTTCAGCGGCCCAGGGTTTCACTGGTTCGAATCCTGGGCGTGGACATGGCACTGCTCATCAGACCATGCTGAGGCAGCATCCCACATGCCACAACTAGAAGGACCCATAACAAAAAATATACAGCTATGTATTGGGGGGCTTTGGGGAAAAAAAGGAAAAATAAAAAAAAAAGAGAATCTCTTCAAATTAAAAACAAACTCATGAGGATTTTCTATATTATTTATAAAAAGGTTCACATTGGGATCCTTTCAATTTCATTCATTCAATCAGTGAAACTACAAATATTTGTAAGGTGCCTCTTAAGAGTCAGAGACTGTGCTAACAAATCTAAAGATAATATTTTATCTGTTAAAGGCTTTCTTAACTCACAGCTATTTCAGAAATACTAGGGAACACCAAACGCTAATACTTCTTAGTTCTCAGTTATCCATCTTGACGGGGAAAGAAGATAGTTGGGATAAAAGGTACATATATAGAAATAGACATATGGATATATATGTTGCTTTTGATATATACATTACAAGTTATACACACACATACATACACGTCACTGTGACCAAGAATTTGAGACTCTTTCCACTTTAAACTTTTAAAAAGATCTTTTGAGCTTATAAACAATCCTCTTATTTAGCTCTGTGAAAGAAGTATTTACAAACAGTAGAATAGCTAAGAATTAAGGTGCAAAAAAGAGGGAAAAGGAAAAGTGAAAAGCAGTATGGGTAATGCAGGAACCAAGCAAATTCTTGAATAACCACCATCATTTTTAACGTGTTTTCCGTGGTTCCTGAGCATCCAGATCCAGTGAACACCACTCTGTATCATAAAGCTTGTTTTCAGATGTGCGGGGGCCTTCTCTCTGGAGAGATGTGGACTCCTTCAAGGAAACAGCCCTGCCATATTTCTTTATACCACTGCAGTGAACAAAAAAATTCTGGGCACGTAACAGACACTAGGTATGTACTTGCTGATTAACAGACTGAGTCCTGGAGAGGTGACACTAGTGCAGGAAGGGCTGCAGAGGCCAAGACCAAAGATTATTCCCATTTGTTGAAGGCAGTTAGAATTTAGTGGCTAAGAAGCCAAGTTCTGTCATTTTCTATTTCTGCATCTTGGGCAAATTACTTAATCTAACTGTGCCTCAGTTTACCTTCATCTGTAAAGATGAGGATAATAAGAGTGTCTATATTGTAAAGTTGCTGTGAGAACTAAGTAAGTTAACACAAGAACAGCATTTACAACACTAGCACACAATAAGCGTACAATAAATGTTAGCTGCTATTATTTGTGATTCTTTTCCCTTGTTTTTGAGAATTCAAGCATCCTTTAAAATGAGAAAATAAGATATAATAGAGTAGTTCACTTCAAAGATAGTAGAAAATTTAGTCCTTAATTTTAAGCTTAATTTAAATAATGAAACTCAAATTTGACTTCCAGGTAAAGATGGAAGATTGCACACAGGTATCTACTTTCACTTGTCCTGGCAGAAAACAATCTTTTAAAGGGATAAACCCACAAGGGTTTGGAGAAGAAGAGCAGAGACAACAACAACACAATCTCTTCGGTCCGACCCTCACATACTTGGAAACTAGGTTTATAACAGTTTTGGCACTGGTTGCAGAACGGTGGGGAAGGAGGGAGGGTGGGGCTCAAAATGCAACAGAGCATCCAGGAGATATGGGACAGCACCAGAAGATCTAACCTGTGTGTAATTGCCAAGCCAGAGAAAAAAGACAAGGATAAATAATATGTGAGAATTTTCTAAAGTGAATGACAGGTACCAAACAACTGCTCCAAGACACTCAAAGAACACCAAGCAGAAGAAAAGCTCTTCCTGCAAAAGAACCCCCACACCATAGGAAAATCCCATTCAAAGTGCTGAAAACCAGAGACAAAGAGAAAATGATGAAGGCAGCCAGTGCAGAAAGACACATCCCATGGAAAGGAACAAACAATAAAGGTAAGAGTTACAGTAGACTTCCCATCCGAAACTATGCAAGCCAGAAGGCAATGGAATGGTCTCTGCAGCTGAAAACGAAATCCATCAAGTCAGAATCCTGCACCCAGTAAAAATGTTTCTAAAAAAAGGAAGGAGAAATAAAGACTTTCCTGAACCAAAAACCAAAACCAAAAGACAAATCTGAGTGAATTCCTTGCCAGTCGAGCCACACTATAAGTGATGCCAAAGAGACTTCTTGAGGCAGAGGAATACAATAGCTGACAGCAACCTGAACCTACACAAAGAAATTAAAAGCACAGGAAATGGAATAACTAAAGCTAAACAAAGTTCAAATTCATTTTTTATTACTTTTAATTGCTCTGAAAGATAACTACCTACAGCAAAAATAGTAGTATTGCGTATTTAGCATATGAAAGAGTAAATATGTGGCAGCTAACAAACAAGAATGGGAAGGAGAAGTTGTTGTTCTTATACTAGACACAAAAGAGAATATTATTTGAAAGTAGATTTGATTTAATAAGATGTATATGGTAAACTCTAAGGCAACTACTTAATTTTTTTCAAAAGAGGTATACATGATATTACAATACTAGAAACAACATTGAATCATAAAAAGTGCTCAATTAATCAAAAAGAAGGCAAAAACAAAGAAAAAAAGAAACAAAGAACAAATGGAACAAATAGAAATAGCTGGTTAGAGGGTCCATTTTAATTCAACCATATTGATAATCACGTTAAATGTAAACCACACAAATTAAAAGAGAGATTGTTAAATTAGCTAAAGAGCAGGAACCAACTATATGCTGCCTCCAGAAATACCACTATAAATATAAGGACATGGAGATGTTAAAAGTGGAAGGATTGAAAAAAGATATGCCATGCAGACGCTATTCAAAGGAAAGCTGAAGTAGCTTTATTAACATCAAAGTGGGCTCGGGACAAGAAATACTACAGTGACAAAGAGGCTTATTACAGAATGACAAGGGAGTCATTTCTCCAAGAAGACGAAGGCACTAACAATTTTATGCCTATAAATTCAATAGCTTAGAACAAAGGGACAAATGTCTTGAAAAGTACATTTGACAAAATTAGCACAAGAAGAAATAGAACAATTCAAATAGTTTTATATCTATTTTCATAATTGAATTCATTATTAAAAACCTTTCAACAAAGAAAACCCCAGGCCCAGATGGATTTACTCACAAATTCTATCAAAGGCTTAAGGAAAAAATTAATATCAGTCTTACACAAACTCTTTGAGAAAAAAGAAGGAAATACTTTTCAAGTTGTTTTATGAGGCCAGCATAACCCTGATACCAAAATCTACCAAAGACATTACAAGAAAGGAAATTGTAGACCAATGTCCTGTATGAATAAATACACAAAGTCCTCAATAAAATATTAAAAAATCAAATTCAGCATTATATGAAAAGGATAAATGTTATTAATATGCAGAGCTTGTGCCAGGATTGCAAGGTTGGTTTTACATTATGAAATCAATAGTTGTAATTCAACACATTAACAGAATCAAAGAGAAAAAAAAACATCTCAATTGATACAAAAACGTTTTTGACAAAATTTCACACTTGTTCATGAAAAAAACTCTCAAAAAACTAGGAAGAGAAAGGAATTTCATCAACCTCATAATGGACATATACAAAAAAACTCCCAACAGTTAATGTCATACTTAATGGAGAAATATTGAATGTTTCTTAGTTGGGGAACAAGATATCCACTCTCTCCACATCTATTCAACAATATACTGGAGGTCTTAGCTAGTACAACAATGTAAGAAAAAATAAAGGCATACAAATTAAAAAGAAAGGAATAAAACTGTCTTTTTTGCAGTTGACATGATTGTATGTATAAAAATCCTAGAGAATCTGCCCAAAAAAACTACTGGAACTGAAAAGTGAATTTAAGAAAGTC